TATTTATTAATAGAAGGCAATGAAAAAAATAGTCAAGTTATATTAATGTGAACACCTCTTCGTTGTAAACAGAAGATAAAATAAGTTTGGAAAGGAAAAAACCATAACCTACCAAAAACGTCAAAATACTAAAAGTGCTCCAAAAAGAATGACCTTATAAAGGCCGATTTTAAGCTGTACAGGTTTCAGGATCGAAGGAAGTTCTACTGGTACATATGACTACAATGTACAATGATAATTCTAATAAATATTAACGACCAATCAGAGTACCAGGTCGAGTACCTTATTTCAGCTTTACCAATTTGTCATGTTGTTTTCATCAATGAAAAACAAAAACTAACTACTTTCATTTCTTGAAACAGTTTATTATATTGCAGATTAAGAGTGTATATCATGTAACCAGATCATATCTTATTTCAGTGACAAAAAATAAAATACTTTGTAGATGACTTAGAAAAAGAATAGTATAGGTTAAGTTGTTTTTACAACAAAAAGAAATTGGAAACTTTGTGTTAAAATGAAAGCAAAACTGAGGAATAGGGTTCTACGAAATGAATAAAATAGATCACTATATAATGTCAATAATGTCAGCTTTACCAATTTTCCCTCTGTAGACCAAAAAAAGCTGACCACCAGCAGCAGCTTCATTCATTTGTCTGAGATCGTCCTCAGAGGTATCTCTGAAGCGTGTAGGCAAAAATAGGAATGACCGATTAACTGGTGAACGGTCATCAACCAACTCAGCTCTTATAGAACTTCCGTACTTGGTATTAACACGTTGCATATTAACAATGGTATAAAGTTGCCCAACTATAAGCTCTGAGGCATGACGCAAAGGGATGACTCTCTGGTTGCGTCGATTAAAACGTTCACGGAAAGTGCCATCATTATTCTGCAATGAAAATATAGAAAATTAATTACTGATCAAAGAATTCTTTGTAACTAATCTGATCTTACATTTTCAGATGATGTCGAAGGATGATTAGAATTGCTGCTACTGGAATTGTCAGAGGACGTGGAAGGATAATTTACATTGCTAGAACTGGAATCTTGAGATGATGTTGCTGCTTGCTCAGAATTTGGAGTTGCTGAAGGAGATGAGGTTGATGGTTGAGCAGGATCAGAATTTGAAATTGATGATGTAAGCGATTGACTTGTAGGAGAGATTGATTGCTGATTGCTTTCTTCAGTTGCAGGTACCACTTGTTGCGAACTTGATGTGGCAGATGAATCTGAATTCACTGTGCCATTTGCTGAAGATGTAGATTGCTGAAGACAATATAATTTAATTAAATAAGGCTAATACTACAATACAAAGATTATGTTGTGGCTTACAATGTTAAATCGAACTACTTTATTTGCAGCAGGTAAGGAATAGTCATTTTTATTATGAGATAAAATATCTATTTGAATCAGATGACTGAATGTAGAGTCATTTTTTTTAAAGACTGACTCTCCTCCAGCGCAACTAAAGACATCCTGCTTAACAAAATATAAATCAAAGAACATTTCCATATAAATAAAAATGCAAAAATAATAATCAAACCTCAGCTGATGTTGTGGCACCAGCTTTCTTTGTTTTTGTGGTCCTCTTCCTAGGAGCACGAGGCTTCGGCTTCATAAAAAGGAATTCATAGATTGTATAAATCAGAACAGTAAATGAAACAGTATAAGTAAAGATAACTTACATTTTTCCTACTCCTTTTCGTTGGCACAGGAGACGATGATGAAGTAGTTGCGGCTTCTGCAGAAGATCCATCAGTCGATGTTGAAGGATAAGTATCACCCTAAAATGACAAATTAACTTCATCAGCTAACAACTAGATAGACAATCAAATTAAGCTTTAGGACAAAAATAAGAGCCTATTTAAATCAAGACTGTAATTTAGATTTATAGCTGATGTTAACACACATTTTTCTTGGTTTTCTTCCTCTTTCGAGGAGTTGCAGATGGAACAGTCACTGCTCGGGAGGACTCAGCACTGGAGGTTGAAGGCTGATTACTATCAGTCACATTGGCGACATCAGTTTCCGGAAGAGGAGATGGAGAAGTTGATGTTCCAGATGGGTTTTGTTGAACTGATTCCTGACAGACAAGGTAATACACATTTGAAAATAAAAGAAGTACTAATAATGAAACTGAAATGTCTGCTTTACAAATTTAAAGAAAAAGAGATGGATAATGAGCTGGAGAACATGATACCCCAGATAGGCTATGCTAAACTAATTCATTAGGACCAAAGTAAAACAACATTTAAAAAATATCTGTTTTGCCACTTTAAGAAGTATAAATTTCAACTCACAGTTAAATTCGACATGTTACTTCCTGTTGATGGAGTTGGGGAAGGTGATGTAGCAGATGAACAATCCTGAACAGGTTCCTGAAAATAAAAATAATTAAAATATGACATTGAATTAGTCAGTGAAAAGTAAAAAATGAGAAAAACAAAAAATTATGGTTAAGTCACTGTTCTATGAGTGCTGTGAAAGGGTCTAGGCCAAGTAATGGTGGATGGATCAAATTGCCATTCATTTTCAGGTATTTCAATAGTAATAATAGAAGTGTCAGAATCGGACTATAAAAGAAAATTTTGTAGAAGTAACATATTAAGAAGATGTAAATATAAAAGTGATTGATCAGACAAATTTTATAGATGGGTAAAATCAAAATAAAACAATAAAAAAATAGTTTAAGCATACAGTACTTACAGAATAGAGTGATGAATCAGACATTTTAGTTTATTTAAGAGTCACTTGAAAATTTAGTAAACCACTCTTTAAAAAATGTTCAGCAAAGTGGAATGTAAACTGTCTAGAGATACATAGCAACCACAACAATTAAACTGCTCTTGATGCTAAAATGAAAAATTTTTGGATAAGAAATTATAAATTGCACATGTAGGAAAGTAAAATATTGAAAGAATCAAAGAATTACCTTTCAACAACATCTTTTGTTCTGCAATAACTTTTTCTTTATAAATAGCTGAATTTAGATGAAATAGAGGACAGTTATCTGCAGGTCCATCATATACAATGCATATGTCATCTGGTGATTTAACTCTGGATAAAGCTACATAAAATTCTCCTGCAGCCATCTCTTTTGCAAAAATATGTAAAACAACCTTTGGTAAAGTAAGCCCTTCTGACTTATAAATTGTGACAGCGTAAGCCAAAAGCAATGGAAACATAACGCGGGAACATGAGATGTTCCGACTATACCAGGAGTTTGTGTATCTAATAATGGGAACACCACCATTAGGGAGAGTTGGTCCATAATAGGAATCAAATTTCACAATAATTGCTATTGGTGAAATATCAGTAGATGATTGGTACACAATGTCTATGACAGTACCAAGAGAGCCATTGACAAGACCTCCATCCACCCAGAGATTTCTTTTTAACATAACACGACAACCAATAGATAGAAATAAGTTCTGTGGTAAGCCCATTGCTTGATCAGAGGTGCAAGCTTTAGCGTATCTTGAATTGTTTTCTGAATCAATTCTCAGAACTGGTTTATTTTCCTGAATAAGCTTCTGTAAATTATAAATATCTACATCTTTCCGTCTTGAAAATAGGTGAACCGCAAATTCAAATTGACCACCTTCTTCTATTTCAGCAAGAGTTCTAAATCTGGATAATAGAATTGCTTTATCAATATCAGTAGTTAGGCCTACACTTATGTTTTGTAAGCATTTCAAATAATTCATATTGTTCTGACGAAGTTGAGATGAAAGGAAACAAACAAGATCAATTTCCTTATAAAGCAAGGCTCCAGCAACCACCATTGCTTGAGAATTAGTTACATCTTCTTTATACCAAGGTGTGTCTGCAACGGGTGGAAGTTGACGAATATTTCCAAAGAACCATACAAATAAATTTCCAAAAGATTTGGTTGATTCTGTCAGCTGACATAATCTCTTGTGAAGAGCATATATAAGTTTACATCCAACCATGCTGTACTCTTCAACCAACACAAATTTAACATGTTGGTATTTCTCTCTCCATTTAAACAAGGATTCACCTCGAAGATCTGGCATATTACCAAGATCACGCCAATTTAATCTTAAAGCGCTATGTATGGTCTGACCATTAACATGAAGAGCAGCTGAACCAGTTGGAGCCAATATCAATGAACTAGATGTTCCAAGTTCAGTCTCAATCAAAGACACCATAGATTGAAGTAAAACAGACTTCCCACTTCCAGCAAAACCTTCACAAATTGATATTCTTGGAACTTTCAAATCTTCCATAACAGTTGTCTTACAATATGTTATTTGCCTCTTCAGAATTTCAGTTACAATTTGCTGGTCATGGCTACTTGCTGGCAATATTGGAAGTGCTGTATAGATTAAAGAATGATAAATCATTTATTCATTTTATACATAAAAGGAATGATTAGATATAAATTGGAAGTACCTTTATGTATCTCTACATTTTTCCGGGATGTAGAAATAAAGTTAAGAATAAGGTCGGCGTAATACTCATCACATATATTATCAGTCCACGGATACGATAAATCTATCACTCTTTTACCAAGTTCATATTTGTTTCCATCATTATTTACTGAACCATCCATTCTACATATTTTCATCCAGTCCTCTTCAGTCATTTTCATATCATAACTTTCATCATCATCATCATCATCAGAAAGTTCATCTTCACATATAGACACAGGATACGGAAACATATCAAGGTTGACACCATGAACAGAGCAAGTAAATTCCCAACTGTCATTAACAAGTAAGCTACCATAGTCACGCCAAGGAATATTCAATAAGGCATTCTGTCTCCAAATAGCTTCACTAACGGCAGGATCATTACTTGCTTTAAATCTTGGAATTATTCTGACGACTCTTTCTTTCAGATACTTCTTAAAATTCTTGATATCGAACCATTTCATACTGTCAAGTAATGATAACTTCTCATATTTCTGTGACCTTGCTGAATAACAGGCAAATACATCTAATGATTTGTTTGGAGGTTTCTCATTACTTGAAAGAATAGATATGTCACCTTTAACATGCCATTCAGTTTCAGATAAATTAAGTACAATGAAGGATCTAGAACATTCATAAAGCTTGTGGCCTTTAAGGATATGGATTACTTCTTGAAAAGAATAGTCACGATCAGCAGCAAGATTGATGAATAATTTCTGTATCACAGATTTTACAGATTGTTCTGCATCACTGTTAAAGACAATGTACTTCAAAATTTTCAGCAAATCCTCTGATTTAATTTCACCTTTAGTAGCATACTTAGAGATATACCTATAAAAAAAATATACAATTGAAAAAAGGAAAAGGTAGTAGTAATATTATAAAAAGATAATGTAGTTCAAATGTACCTTACAAAGCCATTGTAAGTTAAAATGGCTGTGAAATCATGGTTGCTACGAATAACTGGTGCCAAATCTTCTGAGAATTTATTTAGTTGAGGATCATTCCTTTTTGGGAAAAATTCTAAATGTCCCCGTTCATTCTTTTCAACAGAACTTTGATCTTGCAGCTTATGAGGAAAATGATGTTTACACCTCAATTCTTGTGCATCTGCATCAGTGTGTTTCTTCACTTTTCTTAAACAATGTACTGAACACTTATGTCTTTGCATAGTGTTTACTAATGCAGCCAAATCAGCTTCTCTGTCTACTACCTCACTAACTTTAATTCTACAAGGATGATTAGCCGTAACAACATACTGACAGTTGGGATTCCATGCACTAACAAGTGAACTGAAATAATCAATTATACTTTGTTTTTCAGATGAAGACATCTTTTCAAATCCAAGAACATTTGGAGCATCAGCCAACCATAATACACCATGAATATGTGCTGAAAATTTAAAATTTAAATTAATTAAGT